AGGCAGACAAGTTGTGGGGCCTTCAGGACAGAGTCAATAGTTTTAAAAAGGACATGTGGATTATTATGATTGAGCATAATAATGTCTGACAAATGTTGTTTTTTGGCCTCTTGGACAGTATTCTGGTATTGTCGTCAACAGTTCTTTAAAATGTGAAATGAAACCTCCAGTTTATACTTTTTCCATCTCCGTTCAGCTGTATGGCACTCCTGTCTGGCTGCAAGAGTTTTGCATTAAACCAGGGTTCAAGTCCGGCTTTAGGCCGCACCGGTTTAGATGGAGCCACAGAGTTCAGAATGGTTTGACAGGAGGAGTCAAACCAGGAGCCCAGCTGTTCAGTGTCAGTAACTGAGTCAGGGGGAGCACATAGCTGTTCAAAGGCAGCAGAACCAGCAGTGGAAGGGTTAAAAACTCTACGTAGCTGGGCAGGAATGTAGGATTTAACTGGAGCACAGGAAAAACCAACATCAAATAAAACAGGACTATGATCAGAAATCACATTATCATATAGTTCCAAGTCAGTCACAGACAAGCCATGAGAGAGAACCAGGTCTAACGTGTCCATGTTCATGCGTGGGATCAGCCACCCACTGAACCAGGTTAAAAGAGTCAGTGAGGCTGAGAAAGTCTTTCACCAGCGGTTTCTCTGGACAACATACATGTATGTATGTTAAAATCCCCAACAATAAGATCTCGATCATAGTTTGTCATTATTCTGGTCAGGAAATCAGAAACATAATTCAAAACGTCCTTATTATATTTACAGGGGCGGTAGATGACAGTGCACAACACCGGGTCTGGGTGACTCACCTCAAATAGTCACCTCGAAGCTGGAGAGTGAAGACGGTTTAGCGCACTGTTTGCATTTAAAGTTGTTTTTATAAATCACTATCGTTCCTCCTCCACGGCCTGACATCCGAGGGAAGCTTAGATAAGAACAGCCATCCGATAGAAGTTCTACAAAAACACTGGAGTCATCAGCCTCAACCCAGGTCTCTGTGACGCAGAGGAAATCCAAATGACGGGAACTGAAACCCCCCCTGGGTCTCTGAGAAATGGATGTAGAATGAGCCAGACAGAACTTTAGTTTCACCAGCTGTCCTCCATGTTTACCATGGTAACGACAACGTTTCTGCCGGGGGGGGGGGGGGGGCAGCGCAGGTGCCTGGAGGAGATGAGCTGGGACTCCTGACAGGAGCGGGGATAAAGTTTTCTGTCCACCATAATCAAATGAACTGAGCTTGCCAATGGCATGTTGAAGATCCAAGAGGGACTGATGATTGTACACAAGCACAGATTTAGTGCTAAGCACAAAACAGAGGGGAAAAGAAAACCAGACCAAGAGCGACAGACAGGCACTGGCACCATCTTGACATGTGATGACAATAAAGAACCTTGAACCTTGAAGGATTCAGCTTTCAGTCTGATCTTTTTAGCTTCTGTAGCAGTGTCCTGATGCTGCTAAATAATCCACGTAAATTTAACAACGTGGAGTCAGGTCCTTTGGACAGGGTCTTCTTTGTTGAACAACAATTAACTCAACTTTGTTAGACTTCTGTGGCAGTCATCAATCACTTTTGCAGAAAATACATGTTTTCTCCATCCATCCATCCATTATCTTCCGATTCTCCGGGTTGGGTCGCAGGGGTAGCAGCCTAAGTAGGGAGGCCCAGACTTCCCTCTCCCAGCCACTTGGGCCAGCTCTTACGGGGGAATCCCGAGGCGTTCCCAGGCCAGCCGAGAAACATAGTCCCTCAAGCGTGTCCTAGGTCTTCTTCTGGGCCTCCTCCCGGTGGGACGTGTCCGGAACACCTCACCAGGGAGGCGTCCAGGAGGCATCCTAAACAGATGCCCAAGCCACCTCAACTGGCTCCTCTCAATGTGAAGAAGCAGTGGCTCTACTCTGAGTCCCTCCCAGATGATCGAGCTTCTCACCCTATCTCTATAAGGGAGAGTCCAGACACCCTGTGGAGAAAACTCATTTTGGCCGCTTGTATCCGAGATCTCATTCTTTCGGTCACAACCCAAAGCTCGTGACCATAGATGAGGGTAGGAACGTAGATCGATCGGTAAATTGAGAGCTTTGCCTTTTGACTCAGCTCTCTCTTCACCACGACAGACCTGTACAGCGCCTGCTTCACTGCAGATGTTGCACCTATCCGCCTATCGAGCTCACGCTCCATTTTTCTCTCATTTGTGAACAAGACCCAAAAATACTTGAACTCCTCCACTTGGGGTAGGACCTCCTCCCTAACCCAGAGAGGGCACTCTACGCTTTTCCGGCTCAAGACCATGGCCTCGGATTTGGAGGAACTGATCTTCATCCAGGCCGTGTCGCATTTGGCTGTGAACCGCTCCAGCAAAAGCTGTAGATCACGATCTGATGAAGCCAATAAGACCACATCATCTGCAAAAAGCAGAGACCCAATACTAAGGCCACCAAAACGGATCCCCTCAACACCATGGCTGCGCCTAGAAATTCTGTCCATAAAAGTTATGAACAGAATCGGTGACAAAGGGCAACCTTGGTGGAGTGCAACTCTCACCGGGAACAAGCCCGACTTACTGCCAGCGATACGGACCAGGCTCTGACACCGGTCATACAGGGACCTAACAGCCCGTATCAAAGGGCCCGGTACCCCATACTCCCAGAGTATCCCCCACAGGGTTCCCCGAGGGACGCGGTCGAACGCCTTCTCCAAGTCCACAAAGCACTTGTAGACCGGTTGGGCAAACTCCCACGCACCCTCTAGGACCCTGCTGAGAGTGTAGAGCTGGTCCAGTGTTCCACGGCCAGGACGAAAACCACACTGCTCCTCCTGAATCCGAGGTTCGACTATCCGATGGACCCTCCTCTCCAGAACCCCCGAATAGACCTTACCAGGGAGGCTTAAGAGTGTGATTCCCCTGTAGTTGGAACACACTCTACGGTCCCCCTTTTTGAATAGGGGGACCGTAGAGTGTGCCAATCCAGGGGAACTTCCCCCGATGTCCACGCAATATTGCAGACTCACGTAAGTCAACACAACCCTGCAACATCCAGAGCCTTAAGGAACTCCGGGCGAATCTCATCCACCCCTGGGGCCCTGCCACTGAGGAGCTTTTTAACCACGTTGGTGACCTCAGCACCAGAGATTGGAGGGTCTGACCCAGAGTTCCCAGGCTCCGCTTCCTCAGTGGAAGACGTGCCAGTGGGATTGAGGAGGTCTTCAAAGTATTCCGCCCACGACCCACAACATCCCGAGTTGTGGTCAGCAGCACACCACTCCTACTATAAACAGTGTTGGTGGCGTACCGCTTCCCCCCCCCGAGACGCCGTCTGGTGGATCAGAATTGCCTCTAAGCCGTGCTGAAGTCATTCTCCATGGCCTCTCCGAACTCCTCCCATGCCCGAGTTTTTGCCTCAGCGACCACCCGAGCCGCATGTCGCTTGGACTGCCGGTACCCATCAGCTGCTCCTGGGGTCCCACAGGCCAAAAATGTCCGATAGGACTCCTTCAGCCTGACAGCATCCCTCACCGACAGTGTCCACCATCGGGTTCGAGAGTTGCCGCCGCAACAGGCACCGACAACCTTGCGGCCGCAGCTCTGGTAAGCCGCCTCGACAATAGAGGCACGAAACATGGTCCACTCAGACTCAATGTCCACCACCTCCCTCGGAACATGTTTGAAGTTCTCCCAGAGGTGGGAGTTTAAACTCCTTCTCACAGGAGACTCTGCCAGATGTTCCCAGCAAACCCTCACAAAACGTTTGGGTCTGCCAGGTCTGACTGGCATCCTCCCCCACCATCGGAGCCAACTCACCACCAGGTAGTGATCAGTGGACAGCTCCACCCCTCTCTTCACCCGAGTGTCCAAGACATGTGGCCGCAGATCAGTTGAGACGATGACAAAGTCGATCATTGAACTGCCGCCTAGGGTGTCCTGTTGCCAAGAGCACATATGGACACCCTTATGCTTGAACAAGGTGTTCGTTATTGACAATCCATGACAAGCACAGAAGTCCAACAACAGAACACCACTCGGGTTCAGATCAGGGGGGCAGTTCCTCCCAACCACACCCCTCCAGGTCTCACTGTCATTGCCCACATGAGCATTGAAGTCCCCCAGCTGAACAAAGGAGTCCCCAGGAGGTGCACTTTCCAGTACCCCCTCCAAGGACTACAAAAAGGGTGGATAATCTGAACTGCCGTTTGGTGCATAAGCACAAATGACAGTCAGAACCTGTCCCCCCACACGTAGGCGGAGGGAGGCCACCCTCTCATTCAGCGGGCTGAACCCCAACACACAGGCACCAAGTTTGGGGGCAATAAGTATGCCCACTCCTGATCGGCACCTCTCACCAGGGGCAACTCCATAGTGGAAGAGTGTCCAGCCCCTCTCAAGGAAACTGGTTCCAGAGCCAGAGCCATGCGTCGAGGTGAGTCCGACTATTTCTAGCCGGAACCTCTCAGCCTCACACACCAGCTCAGGCTCCTTCCCCACCAGTGAGGTGACATTCCATGTCCCAATGGCCAGCTTCTGTAGCCGAGGATCAGACCGCCAGGGTCCCCGCCCTCGGCCACCACCCATCCCACATTACACCCGACCCCTTTGGCCCCTCCCACAGGTGGTGAGCCCATGGGAAGGGGGACCCACGTCTCCTCTTCGGGCTGTGCCCGGCCGAGCTCCATGGGTAAAAGCCTGGCCACCAGGTGCTCGCCCGCGTGCCCCACCTCCAGGCCTGGCTCCACAGTGGGGACCCGGTGACCCATGTCCGTGCAAGGGAACATTAAGTCCATTTATTTTTCTCTTCATCGGGGTGTTTGGGCTGCACTTTGTCTGGTCCCTCACCTAGGACCTGTCTGCCATGGGTGACCCTACTAGGGGCATAAAGCCCCTGACAGCATAGCTCCTAGGATCATTGGGACACTCAAATCCCTCCACCACAGTAAGGTGGCAGCCCAGGGAGGGGGACATGTTTTCTGATTGTTTAAACTATTTTCTGCTGTTTTCTGCAGAGAGAAGCCACATCCCCAGCTCTGTGCAAGACCCTGCCCTCCTACCTGTAGACTTAGAGGAAGATGGTTTCCTGTTGGAGGCGGGTGCCAATAGTGAGGTGCTGGACTTTTCACAGGTGTTGGTCTACAGGTTGCTGTGAACCTGTCCTCTCACTCCGCCTGTTTCTCTTGCTCCCTGCAGGATCCGTCTGGGGTGTTGCAGCTGCAGGGTCGTGCTGTGCGCTCACCTCGCCGCTGCATCCCTCATCAGCAGTTCTGTTTGGGCTACTCGCTGCCCTGCTGCGACCCCTGCGACACCTGCTACTGCCGCTTCTACAATGCTATCTGCTACTGCCGTCCAGTTGGCCATACCTGCCCACCCAGGCGCACCTGAAGATGCACCTGAAGAGAGCCTGCCGTGAAGAAACCTGCAGACTTGTTTGTGCTTTAAATGTGTATTTGACTAAATGTGTTTTTGTGAAATAAACAGCTGAAAATGTCTGTCCAGCTATTTTCTTTCCTAACTTTTTCCTACAGGACAAACTGATGTGTCCAGTAGTCATTGTGTGTGTGGTGGTCAACTACGGTGAAGTTAGTTTTAGGTTGGATATTATTGGATACTCCCGCTCCAGATTCAGCAGTATCTTCCTCTCGTTCGACTTGATGCCGGCAGTCTGATTTCAGTCAGCTGCCTTCAGTCTGCCCCCTCCTCTGAGACGTAGTTGGCTTAGACACAGTCAATAACTTTCTGAATCTTGAGAAACCAAAAATAATAGCTTTCATGTCGTGACCTACTGAGACAATACTAATATCAAAATCAAACAAAGTAAGTCAGGTCCTCTAGACGGATTCTTATTTGAAATGTTTCATCTTTTATCCAAAAGACTTCTTCAGTCTGAGGAGCTGCAACAAACTCAGTCTTATAAATAACACCTTCTCATAGTGTATCAGCCAGAACCAGCTGATCACACGTATAAAGTAGGATCATCCAGGTGGATGATCCTACTTTATACTTTATACGTAAAGCATAACAGATGGTCGTTAATGCTCTACTATTCACAGAGGCCTGAGTGATACTAGCGATAACAGCATTGTAAGAGGGGGACCGTTGGACACGGAGGCCTCCACCCCTGTATACTGATCAGTGGTGGCTCCTCGGTAGGGGGCGCTAGGGTGCTGCCCCTATTTGGAACTCACTATTCACCATTTTACATTGAAGATAAAAAAAAAAGAAAAGAAAGAATAATATAAAAATATTTCAACATATATGTATATATGTTTTTAGTTGTGTAGGATAAATATTTTATAGGTAATGATGAGTTACGTTGTTTGTTTCTAAAAAGGTTGTCTGATTGGTGATGTATTTCCAGGCCCTGGGGGTGCATGAATCTAATCCATAGACTCGTTAAAAATGGCACATGTGCAGTTATTCTGCTTTGTTACAAGAGATAAGAAGATTCTGGGCGCAGATATTGCCGCCCGGGGGCATGTCGAATGTGAGCTGTACCCATCAGTATCGATCGTGTACTTTCAGTTCTGGTACAGTTTTTTTTTTTTTTGGTCCAGGAACATATCGTGCTGCAGTGACACTCCATATTGTGCTGCAGTGACACTCACAACCAGTCTGGCTGCAGGTACGCTTTAAGCCAGAGGTCACTCAGTCGGTTCGGATTCGGACAGAGTGATGGTTCTGTCCGATGGTTCTGACCTGACAGAACACCAGACCGGAGCTGAGTCATGTGCCGGCTGCTCATGGCTGTGTTGTGTGGCTGCACTCTGCTGTTGTTTCTACAACTTGGCAAGATCTACAATTAGAGAAATTTGAAAGTTTTCAACTGTCTACTCGACGGTAAGTTGCCTTTTTGTTTTAAAATACTGTTGGGCACATTAGTAGCTGTAACTGCAATCTAGTGGTGGGATACTGTTACTTCGCAGGTAATATAATCGGCATGCATTATGGAAAATGTAGTTTGTTGTCAGTGCACCCTTTTGACTTACTGAATATACGACAATCAGACCTTTTAAGCTATCTTGGGCCACATAAAATGACGTGGTGGGCCACATCTGGCCCGCGGGCCTTGAGTTTGACACGTGCCACGTGCCAACTGCTGATTTGGCTAGCATGTACCCTGATCAATATGAACTTCCCAACCATGTATTTATTTATTACGCTAATAAAGTCATTCAGTAAGTAAGCCGAATAAAAGGCCATACCTTAAATAATTAAAGGACATCTTTGGTTGAATTTATTTGAACTATTTTAAGTTATTTTTGTTACTTTTTGACAAACCGATCCAGCGGCAGTGGTGGTTTTACTGTTTAGTACTGGCTCGGTTTGAGTTAAATTATACTGCTCATAGCACTGAAACGGCTCTGATACGGGTCACAAATGACCTGTTGATCACTGCTGACCGTGGTTCCTCTTCTCTCCTTATTCTTCTCAACCTTTCGGCAGCCTTGGACACGGTGGATCATTACATCCTGCTCCACCGTTTACAGCATTTTGCAGGGCTCACTGGCACTGCCCTGGTGTGGTTCCGATCATACCTGACGGACAGAACAGAGTTTGTCTCCATTGGGCGTGCCAAGTCATTGAGCCATCCTGTTTCTTGTGGTGTGCCCCAAAAATCAGTCCTGGGACTCCTTCTTTTCAACTTGTACATGGTACCACTTGGGTGTATTATCAGCAGCTACGGGGTCTCATTCCATTGCTATGCTGATGATACTCAGCTGTATCTTAAGCTTAAGTAATGTGTCTGAGACCCCATCTACATCATCTTCAGCTTCTCCATTTTCTCCACTTTCTTCTCTTTCCACACTCACAGCTTGTCTGGAGGAGATAAAGGCATGGATGCAGCAACATTTCCTTCACCTTAACAATTCAAAAATAGAAGCAATTCAAATTGGTATTTCACACCAAATTCAACAACAAAAAAATCCTCAGTATCACTTTCTCTGGCCAGAACATTTCTCTTTCCAGTACAGTCACCAATCGGTGTTATTTTTGATCCACAACTCAACTTTGAAAGCCATATAAAGCATATCTGTAAAACTTATTTTATTCATCTTCGAAATATTGCAAAGCTTCAGTCTACACTGTCCTTCACCGATGCAGAAATGCTTGTCCATGCCTTTGTCTCCTCCAGAGTGGACTACTGCAATGCACTTCTCATTGGGATTCCTGGCAAGAACATACAGAAACTACAGTATGTCCAGAACAGCGCTGCCAAGGTCCTGATGAGAGTGTGTAAGCATGAGCATATCATCCCTGTACTTCCTGTCTCTGCCCAGATCACTTACAAAATGTATCTGCTCACCTTCCAATGCTTGTACGGTAATGAGCCATCTCATTTAAAAGAACTTCTCACCGCTCTTTGTCCTTCACGCACTTTCTGCTCTTCCAACACTCATCTTCTTCTCACTCCCAGGTCTCGGTCCCGCACAACAGGAGACCAGGCTTTCTCCTGCGCTGCCCCTCGGCTGTGGAATGCCCTGCCTTCATATCTGAGGGCCCCACAGACAGTGACATGTTTTAAAAAAGGTCTTAAAACCTTTCTTTTTACCCAGTTTTTTAATTGATTGCATTGTACTTTTGTTTTTTATTCTCCCATAGTTCTTATTTGAGCATTTTATCTACATTTTGTGCATTTTAAGTTTTTGATGTGTTCTTTCTGAGGCATTAACCTCCTGGTTGTTCCTTCTATCTGTTGCTTTGATGGTTGCTTTTTATCCTGATGTTATCTGATTTTCACTCACTGTAGCACTTTGAGATCCATTGTGAATGTAAAGTGCATTATAAATAAAAGTTATTATTATTATTATTATTATTATTATTATTATTATTATTATTATT